TATATTAACACACTAGAGGCCCGATGCATGAAATTCATGCAAGAGTAGGCCTTCCTTCCCCTGGCTACTGGCACTGGCTTCCCTCTGGCACTCAAGATTCAGGCATTCTTCTTTGGGGCGATGGCTGGGCCCCCAACCAATTGCATCACACCTGCCTTGGCTGGCCTGGTGCCAGTGGGTGTCATAGCATGGTCATCTGGTCTAGTTAGCATATTACACTCTTATTATTATAGACTAGTGGCCCGGTGCATGAAATTCGTGCATGGGGTGGTGGTGGTGGTGTCCCTAGCCTGGCCTGTACCCTCTCCAATCTGGGACCCCTTGACGGATGTCTGACTGCCGGTTTAGGTCCATAGGGATCAGGTCTAAACTGGCAGTAAGACATCCTTCTTGAAATCTGGGACTGCTTTCTCCTAACCATTCACCTGCCTGCCTGCCTGAATGCCCCTAGCTAACCACTCTGTCTGCCTGCCGCCTGATTGCCTCTAACCACTCCACCTGCTGGCCTGCTAGCCCCCAACTGCCCCCCTGCCAGGCCGATCACCCCCAACTGCCACCCCTGCTGGCCTGCTCACCCTTAACTGCTCCCTCCCACCTGCCTGCTCGCCCCCAACTGCCTCCCCTGCCAGCCTGCTCACCCCTAACTGCCTCTGCCTCAGCCCCACCACCATGGTTTAGTCCAGTAGGACGTCTGGAAGGTCCCCCAGAAGGTCTCCTGGTCTAATTAGCATATAACTCTTATTAGTATAGATTATACATATAAGTGTATATGTAAACTTATAAAACACAAGTTATACATATATGTATATTATGTATTCCATGCATTATAAATAAGAAAAATAAATCAGAAAAGAAGCAATAAAGAAATAAAATTTATGTCATTAGTTTAAATAAGCTAGGTTAGGCTACAATTAAAAAACCCTAGCCTGGCTGGTGTGGCTCAGTGATTGTGTGTTGATCCATTCACCAAGAGGTTGCTGGTTCCCGGTTGGGACATATGCCTGAGTTGTGGGCTCGATTGCTGGTGGGAGCTGTGCAGGAGGCAGCTGAGCAATGTTTCTCTCTCATCAGTGTTTCTCGTTCTCTCTCTCCCCCCCTTCCAGCTCTCTCTAAAAATCAATGAAACATATGTTTGGATGGGAAAAAAATATATATGTAGTCCAAGGTTACTTGGATGTGCCCGCAACCCAGGTACATGCCCTTGACCAGAATCGAACCTGGGACCCCTCAGTCCACAAGCCGACGCTCTATCCACTGAGCCAAACCGGTTTCGGCTGAAACATATATTTTTAAAAAACCTTAAAGTACCAGCAGGTTGAGATAACAGTAAATGTATTCCTTGCTCCTGAGATATATCCAGTGGGGGTAGAGGGGTCACTGTCATCATTCAGGGATCTCAGCTTCTTTGGAGGTTCCACCTTAACACAAACTCCCCTGCACACAGAGCAGGAGAGAAGGAAAATCATTGCTCGCACTCAAGGCTCTGGTTGGGACGTTTGCACTACTTCTACAGGGACGTGTCGGACCTCAGCAGGTGGAGCAGTACAACCGCCCCCCCTCCCCCGGAGGAAAATAGGGACTCTGATGAATACTAATAGAATCTACTACTATTTTTTTTAAGTTTTACATTTAACAATGTAAAAAGTGCTTCTGAATTGAATTTTGAAGGTCTGAACCTAAGTTAACTTTATTTGGATACTTGGATTTAGTGGCTTTCACAGCTGAAAACACTAGCACTATACAAAGCATTACACAATGATATGCAATTGGAACAGATATGCATGTAATTGCCTGTACTGGCCAACTCATGATACTCTATTGCCAAGATTTTATGTTTGCAGATAGTTTTCCATCTCAAAATGAAGTATAATTTGCACATAGTACAGTGCATAAATCATGTGTATATAGCTTGTTTTTTTAATATTTGTAGACACCATCCAGATGAAGACAAAATGCTGATTTCCAGCACCCCAGCAGACTCTCGTGTACTCCACAGTCAGTGCCCTATCTGAAATCTACCTGAAATGTCCTGACCTGTTTCCATGACTGTATAAATGGAAGAATGAGCTTGTACAGAAGCAGGCAGCATGCCTTCCTCTGGATCCAGCTTCTTCCTCGCAACATTATGTCTGTGAGAACCATGTGTGTGGTTACATACAGAAGTTTGGTCGTTCTCATTCTATATAGAATTTTACTAGATGGTACCACAATTTATATAGCCACTCTACTGCTCATGGACATTTGAGTTGTTTCCAATTTTTAACTATATTTAATAGCAGCTATGAATACTGTTGTCCATGTGTTCTGGTGGACATAAACACTTACTACTCTTAGGTAATACACTGAAATACTAGTAAAGATGGTTCACTGCAAAAATGCATATTTATCTTTAGTGGGCACTGCCTGTTTTCCAATGGGGAGAGAGAAGCAGGAATATGTGCTCCACCAAAAACACTTCATTGTCAACATTACTTTATGTATAGTCTTGTTGAATATGAGTGCTCATGTCCAAAAGTAAAACTTGCTGTAAATAGAAAAAAAAAAGATTTGACATACCTATTTTCTTTAGTAAAAAAAAAGAGCTATGACACAAAACCAAAAAGAAAAAAAAGTCCAAAAACATACACCAATTTTTCTTTTCATTAATATAACCCAGCCATAGAGTACAAGAATATTCATTTCTTTCACATCCATCACATTTAAAGTCCCTGAAGGTGGATTTATGTGATTTTATAAAACTATTATTAAACTCCTTCAATACACAAACTTGCTGAAAGTGACATTCATTCTACATATAATTCTTAGTCCTTGTTACTATGATCACAGGCTGTCACACATTTGCAATTAGAAATGACAGTAATTTCAAAAATGAAAAATGGGTTTTCAAATACATCATACTTATGAATTTACTTTGGTTGCCACTCATACATTTTGATTTTTAATATGAGATATTATTTGAAAATTGAAGTAAACTGATCTGAAGGAAAATCTATATCCCAAGTAAATATCCTATGTAATATAAAGATTTGATTAACAGTATCTTTAGTTGGCTTTGTTGATGTTTATTACTTTAATCACCTAAACTCTAGCTCCAAACTGAGTTTTGGATTCAAATTACACCACAGTTGGACTGTTTATTCAATATAGAATTTACCACATTAATGAACTTGCTGACAAGTGATAAACTGAGGCAGAGGAGAAAAGTCCCAGTTTTGTCAACAAAATGATCCTCTGTGACTTTAGATAACTTTGTACTTGGGCCTCAGTTTCCTCAGCTATTAAGGGAAGGTTGTGTCTAGGTGGATTCCCAGGAAATGTTCAAGACATTGTTGTTTTAAAAACACATACTCAAAAGTTTTCCACTGTAATGTTCAGAACAGTCATCAAAATGGTTAATTATTAAGCTGCACTGTAAATATTTTGGGGATGGCTTTTGCTTCTTATTTAGAGAAGATGGTTAAGAAATGTTGGATGTGATTAACCCAGTAACTACTAAAGGGACTTTTTTCTCTCAGGTTCTCCCCTGGTATTGGTATTGGAAGAGGAGCACAAATGGAGAAGGCATTTCTGATCTCAATTTATGACAGATGAGAGGACATGAAACATACAGAGAATTAAGAGTGGGTGCATGCTGTCAGGGCATGCCCTAGTCAGAGATCAGGCCCTCCAATGCACTCTAAAGCTTAAAGACAAACACTTTTAAATTCAGGGTGAACATTAACCCCAAATGTAGCCAAGATCACAAGAAATAAAATAAATAGGTGCAGAAAGAACAACAAAATGGTAGAATATAAATAAGTCTCAGTCATGTTGATGTTTACCATAGTGCACACACTTATGAAGTGTGTAAATGAGTTGTAGAAAAAGACTCTTAGGTCTATAATTAGACAAAATCAGGTAAGTCAGGAAAACAAACCCCTAATACTTTCCATAGAGCCAGAAACAGAAGTTCCACATACAGAACCTACACACAGTTTTTTTTTTTTTTTTTTTTTTTTTTTTTTTTTTTTTTTTTTTTTTTTTTTTTTTTTTTTAATGCCTTACTAACCATAAGAGAATACTGTAGAAGGGATCTGACCTTCCACTACCAGGTTGGCAGGAACTGTAATGTTAAGGAATGGGCTTAGCTGGTTGCCTTTAACTGAAATGATGACATTGTTGGAATATATGTGATTGCTCTTAACACTGCTTGTCCAATAATAGAACAGACTTTTAGAAGAGATTTAATGAGAGAGAGATTACAAAAAAGTCAGGGGTACATAGGGAGGATGGAGACAAAGTGTGAAAAAAGTTAATAGAAAGTTGAGAGGAAGTTTTTTCATATTATTTCCTTCCCTTCTGGTGGCCGATTCCAAGCCTGGCACAAGCAGGCACACAGTGCACACAGAACACTTCAGCACACCTGAGAGAAGGGTCATATTACAGGCTGAGACTCCAGCAGCCAGGAACCATAGAACAAAATTCCCCACCAGAGAGGGTAGAATGTGATCATTAAAAAATAACAACTGCTATAATGAATTGAAACTCATTACGTATGCTTAAATCATGAGTTAATGAAGATAATACAAAATAAATATCTTGTTGATCACCTTTAAAAAAATGAGGCAACCAACTCATTCTGAAAACTCCTAGGAATCAAGCATATATCCTGCCTTTCCTGTAGTACCCAAATAGTTGACAATTTAAAAAAAAATTTTTTTACTTAATGTTCCAGCTAACAATCATTAGTTTGCAATCCCTAAAAAGGAATAGATCATGGCAACAATTCCATATAGTACTATGACCATTGGATGAAAGGTTATGATAAACTTTAAAGGGTTAATCAAGCTGATACCATTTATATCCAATTTCAATCTTAACATCAAAAATGAGAGGCAGCCAAATACTACGTATCTCTGGTGGTAGTAAACAAAATTAAAACAAAATCAAACCCTAAAACTGATAAAGCTTCTTTATTAATCACACATTTATAGGAAACATAAAAGACAGAGGAACATGTTTAAATGACACCATGAAGAAGCAATCTGAAAAGTCCAGAAAGTGAAAATATCTACAGAACAAACAACCTGTTTAGTCAACAAATAAGCTGGGGGGGGGGGGGGAGTTCCTAGAGAGAAAAATAATAAAAATAAGATACATATCAAACAAAAGTAGCATGTAGACCTTGGTTAAATCCTAATTTGAATAAGCTATATAAAAAGCTTTTATGAGAATTTTGAACATTGATGGGATATTTGATGAAATTAAGGAATTTTTTCCAGATCTGATAAAGGTATTGTGGTTATGTTTTTAAAAAATTAGCTCTTATCTGATCTGTGTAGGGATGAAATGATCTAATGTCTGGGATTTATTTCAAAACAATGTATCCCAGAGGTAGTGGGGAGGAGATGGGGCACAGATAAAACAAGATTGGTTATGAGCTCATAACTGTTGAAGCTGGCCAATAGGTCAATCAGGATTTGTTTACTGTTCTATTTTGATATGTCAGAAAATGTCCAAAATAAAAGTGTATAACTGACTTCAACTCTTTATTTGCACAACAATATGTTAGTTTACCAATGCCCAATAGTATAATTTACAGCTATCAGTTTAATCCATAATAAAATAAGTACTTTAACAGATAAGGCATGCACTGAAGAAAATATGTAGGCCACAGGTCATCTCAAAGTTAATAAATTTCACATTGAAAACCATTAGAGCCAAAAATCAACTTTACTGAAAAATGCTTGACAAAGAAATTATAACCAAATGTCCAAAGCACTGTACAATGGTTTTACAGCATTAATTCTAATAAATTAAATTGCTTATAAAAAAGGAGAAAATGTCTGGGGGGGGAGTGAGACTAAATAATAAAACTGTGATTTTAAAAAAGATGACTATACTATTTTAGAAATTGTAAAATTGCTTTTCTCTTACAAACATATCAAATACAAGTTCATTAAAACCTACTTCACAATACTTTTTATTTTATTTATTTAATAAATTTTTCTATTTATTTTTTTATTTTTTTAAGAGAGTGTAAGGGACGGGGAGAGACAGAGAGAAAGAAACATCTACGTGAGAGAGACACATCGACTGGTTGCCTCCCACACTCGCCCTGACCAGGACTGGGGATTGAGCCTGTAACTGGGATTTGTGTCCTTGACCGGAATTGAACCCACAACCCTTCAGTCTGTGGGCTGATGCTCTAATTACCATGCCAAATTGGCTAGGGCTTCACAAAAATTTTTAAATAAAATTAATAAATAGTCCAAGAAATTAATAAAAACTATTTTTTTTTTCCAGAATTCAGTGCAGGAAAAGATTATTGACTGAGACTTCTCTCTTTGGAGATGAAGTTCACTCATTTGGCATCTGTTTTGATCAAAAGCAGAAGTCACGCTACTCCATGACTAGAATGAAGAAAGCCTGTGGAAGATGGGAGATAGAGAAACAGCCACTTCACTGAGTGTTACCATTCATGTTCCAAAGTCAGAGAACAGATGTTTAAATGTCCAAGAAATAGCACAAGAAATGTCCAGGAATATGATATCCACAAAATTCTGCCAGACTCAGACAGTCTTCAGAATAATTTTGGAAAGTGAAATTACATTTATCAGATATTGGCACTATATTTATTCTGTAATATTCTAATTATTTATAAACTAGAGGCCTGGTGCACAACATTCGTGCACTGGGGGCGGTCCCTCAGCCCGGCCTATATCCTCTCACAGTCCTCCGAGGGGTCTTTAGCGCTGCTGCGCTTGCTAGCCATGAGCCCACTGGAGAGCCCAGCTTTTGGCTGAGCAGCACTCCCCCTGTGAGAGTACAATGACCACCAGGGGGCAGCTCCTGTGTTGAGCATCTACCCCCTGGTAGGCACTGCACGTCATAGCGACTGGTCGTTCTGCCATTTGGTCGATTTGCATGTTAACCTTTTATTATATGGGATGGTAATTCACATGTTATTTTTGATAAGTGCTATCTTATATTTAATGGACCAAAGTTCTCTCCTTTGACATTATAGATTAAAAAAGGATAATGCAATCTGATGTTCTGTTGAACAGATATTTTACTTTAAAAAAATAAACTGTAAATTGGTATTTTAGTTGATGTTTATTTTTCCTAATCATCTCTGGCAGGAGAAACTTATCTCAAAGTGTTTCTCATTAATCAATCAACGGGTTGAATAAATCTATTGCCAAAAGGCAGGCACCATTTAGAAGCTATGGACACAGAGAAACACTGTCAAAGGCCTGGAGAAAGAGAAGAGAGCTGATGGCATGCAGCCTCTAAGAGAGTAGCAGGGATGGGACTGGGAAGCAGGTGCAATCAGCCCTGGACAGGCCAAGGAAGGAACCGTGGGTATACATGCAGTTAAAAGTCACAGGCAAACTGAGAAGGAACCAGCAGTGAGGGAGGTACTGGCAGTTGTATTCCATCTAGCCAACCGGAAGTTGGCTAGAGAGTGAAAAACACTTCAGTGTGAATTTATTATTGTACAAAATGTCTTTATAACTAATCCTTAAACTGTTGGCAGAGATATTTCATTTGTAATAGGTATTAATATGTAGATTCTGAAATAATTCTTGCTTCTTTTATATTAATGAAATGCACAACTATTTTATTTGCTGAAATCAGTTCATATCTTTGCCTGCATACCTAGAGCTAGCTATATCTTGTATGTTTGGTTTTTAATAAAAGAACAGTATCTTCCCCTTCCTTTGGTTTCTGTGAGTGGGGTTCTCCCTTTCTCTTCCCTCCTCCCCCAACACTCTTAGCTCCTTGTCTCACTTCCTACTCCTCTCCTACAGATGTGGAACCTCCCAATGTGTGGAGCATGGACATTAATCCATCTTTTGGTTGGTTTGAGTGAGTCTATTAAACTCCTAAGCATGGGAGTTTTGTCTCTTTCTTCCTCCCTCTTCAACCAGAAGCCATGTGAGGGAGTAACCCAGGAAGTTATATTTGCTCTGCAGTCTCAGCCTTTCCCTTTGGTGGATTGTTTCAAGGTGGAGGCTGGAGGCTAGGAAGTCCATCTGGTTCTTACATCTAAACTATATTCTCTATACGAGTTTCTTCATCTGCCAAACTCTACTGTCTTATTCTTCAATTGGTTTGAAATGTGGGAGAGAAGAGAGCTGTTATTCCTTGATTCCCCATTCCCAAAAATTCAAATAGTGTTTTCCTGTCTTTCCTTCTGTTTAGGTTGAGATATTGGTGGGGTGAGAGTTCCTTTTTTTCATCCTTCTCTAATACCAAACATGACTACTAATCAATGAGGATGATCCACAAAGCAATATAGCAATATCTTTTCATAGACCCCGTATCAGAACTGATAATGACCTTAGTCAACTCCCCAAAAAATTTCAGAAAAAGATTTCCCAATGAGTAAAGTTTAACAACTGATGAGATGAATGTTTAAATAGGAGGTGCCAATTTAACAATATAAATGGCAAGCAACCCACCACTCCAGAGTTCTTCATGCAGAAATAAATTCAATAGCTTACTGAAATACAACAATCTAGTTAAAAATCACAAAATAGTATTAGGAGAAAAGTGCTGGAAAAAAACAACAACAACAACAACCCACATACAATAACCAATCAAAATACTCTTCACATGGCAGTGGAAATATATTTTCCTTAGGTAAATGCAAAAAAAGAAGGATAATTTAATAGAAAAAAATAGATGATTAGTCAAACAGTACAAAAGTTGTTTTTCACCCATAACTCAGTGGACTTTAATCAGCCAAGCAGATACATCTTTTAAAAATAAATGGATACCCTATATAATAAAGAGCTAATATGCTAATTAGACCAAACAGCAGAACAACCACCAGACGACTTTCCGGATGACTATCCAGACGACCTTCTGGACGAAGCCAGGGCTGCAAGGGACTGTGTGGACTGAGCCCCTTGCATGAATTTCGTGCATCCCCACAGGCAGTAACCATTCTGGTTTCTGTCAGAGCCGATAAGTGAGCCTAGGCCTGAAGTTCACTTAAATGGAATCAACTCTTCCCACATGATGTCCTTTTGCATTTGGCTTCTTCACTTAAACATGATGTTTTTGAGATCTATCCACATTGATAAAAGCAATGTATGAGTTCCAGTTGCTCCATATCCTTGCCAACATGTAACAGTATTGTCAGTCTCTTTAATTTTAGCTATTGTACTAGGTTTGAAGTAGTATCTCATTATGTTTATACTTGCATTCCCCAATGATAATGTTGTATGCCATTCATTTATTGGCCATTTATGTATCTTCTTTTGTGAAAGGATTGTTCATATATTTATACTAGAGGCCCCGTGCACAAAATTTGTGTGTGTGTGGGGGGGTGTTCCTCAGCCCGGCCTGCACCCTCTCCAATCTGGATCCCGCAGAGGATGTCCGACTGCTGGTTTAGGCCCAATCCAGGACCGCTAGCTCCTAACCACTCGCCTGTCTGCCTGATCGCTCCTAACTGCTCCCCTGCTGGCCTGATCGCCCCTAATCGACTCTACCTCAGCCCCGCCCCCGGGACCCAGGATTCCTTCCTCTGGCCAGCCGCTGGCACCCAGGAACCGGGCTTCCCTCCCTCTGGCCGGCAGCAGGCACCTGGGCCAGCTGCAGCTACGGGGGACCATGGGTGGGTGGCTTTTCCTGGGTAGGCCACAGGCTCCTGGGACCATGAGTGGGCAGCTTCACCCGACCGCAGCCGCAGCCACCCGAGACCACGGGGCAGACAGCTTTTCTCCCTCTCCCAGGCCGCAGCCGCAGGCGCTGGTGCCCAGCACTGTGGGGCAGTTGGCTTTTCTCCCTCTCCTGGGCCGCAGGCCCTTAGCCCTTGTAGCCGCTGTGGCTTTGTCCGGATGGACGTCCGGAAGACATCTGGTCTAAATAGCATATTACCCTTCATTAGTATAGATATTTATTCCAGTATACCTATTGAAAAGACTTCCTTTCCCCATGGGAATGTCTTGGTGTCTTTGTCAAAAATCAACTATGCTTGCATGGGTCTATTTAATATTTTCTATTCTGTTTTATGGATCTATTTGTTTATCCTTATGCTAATACCATATTATCAATTATTCCAGTAGCTTTAAAGTCTTGAAGTCAATTAATGTATGACAACTTCCTATTCTTTAAGATTGTTTTAGATATATAAATTCCTTAAACTTTTCTAAACAGATTTTACAATCATCTTGCAATTTCTATAAAAAATCTTGTTGAGGTTTTAATTGTGAATGTACTGAATCTATGGATCAATTTGGGAGAAGTGATATTCTAGGAAGTTTCAATATTCTTAACAATATCAAGACTTTGAATAGAAAAACATGGCTTATCCCCATTTAATTTCATTCAGCAGTAATTTCCAGTAAATAAGTCTTAAATGTCTCTTTATTCCTAATTGTGTATGTTTTAATGCAAATGAAATTCTTATGAGCTTATTTTCCAATTTTTGCTGTTGTATTATAAATATAATTGATTCCGCGAGTAGTTTGGTAGATTCTTTACGACTATCTACATAAATAATGTCTTGGAGTGAAAACACTTTTTTTGTATTATTTTCTCATGAATGAATGTTGAATTTTGTAAGGTGATGTCTCTGAACTTACTAAGATGACTATAAGGTTGTTAATATAGTGACTGATTTTCAAATGTTTCACTAACTGTGCATGCCTGAGATAAACCTTACTTGGTCATAATGTATATGGAGTACAGTACAGATAATATTGCTTTATTAGATTCACTAGGCTGTAATTTTCTCTCCTTGTAATGCTCTTGTCAGATTTTTGGTTTGGGGCTATGCAGGCTTTATAAAATGAGACTGAATGTGTTTCTTTCTCCTATATTTTCTGACAGTTTGTGTAAAATTGGTATATATTCCTTAAATGCTTCATAAAATTTATGAGTAAAACTATCTGAACTTGGAGGGTCCTAAAAAAAAAGGTTTTCTGATAAAGTTTGTGTAAAACTGGTATTAATTTTCCTTAAATGTTTCATAGAATTCACTAATAAAACTTTCTGGACTTGGAGTTCTCTACAAAGAAAGGTTTTTCGTGTGAATTTAATTTAGTAAATTTTAGGGATTTTTCTCACATCAAACAAATGATTCTTTTAAAAGAAACTAGAAATCAAAAATAACGAAGTTTACCTTTTATATTTACCCACATATTCACAATTTCAGGTGGTTTCATTTCTTCCTTTAGATGTAAGTTTCCCCTACTGTTACTTTCTTTGGCCAGCATTCCTTACAGCACAAGTCTGTGACTTTCTGCTGGAGTAGTAATCACCAGCTCCTGCAGACTAGAGGGAGCCATAAGGTGATAGCTATATACAGACAGATTTGGGCCAGTCCAGGTTCACCTCCTTCAAAGGTTGAAGCATTCCTTCCAGTTTCTGTTTACTTTTTAGGGCTCTCTAGTACTTGAATTTTTAACTATGGAAGGGTTAGCCTTCCTGATACAGGTTCTTCCAGCCTTTCTGGAGACCAGAATTCCTCTGAAGTTTCTATTTTTGATTCAGTGGTAGTACTAATTAACAAAGAATGCTAAATTCTGTCACTAATTTTAGAATATTCCATCACAGGCTTATACAAAAGCATCACAGAAACTCTGTAAGTATAATGTAAGTATAAAATGGGGCTAGATAAGCTAACCTTACTAGATTTATCTTCATAAATTTGGCTACAGTTTTTACTCCTCCATTTTCAAATAACTAATAAAATGTTAAACATTGTTAAAAAAAATCTTGCAATAACTAGAGACTTCCCTATGACTAACATTAAGATACTCTGGCTGTAATTATTCCAGCAATGCCAATTCCAAAAGCATATCAGGAAAAACAGTCAAGTGACTTACTGAAACTTAGATTATCTGGTGTCATTTTTGAACTGTCAAATCAAGTGTGTGTGTATGAAGAAAATAAGTTAGTGATAAATGCACCATTTTTTCATAAGTATGATGACTCTATGGAATTGTATACATTGTAAATTATATATTCTTTTTTTAAAAATGAGAGGATAATAAATGCATTTGTCTAGAAATATATAAATAATATTTCTGTGTGTGTGTGTGTGTATCAATCTCAGGAATTATAAAGGAGTGTGTGTCCATCTCATCCACTGTAAAGGCTGCATAGTATTTAATAGATATATAATAATTTGTTTAACACATTAACTAATGAGCATTTAGGTAGTATTTTAGATTTTGTTTATATAAAACAATGCTTCAATAAACATCACTGTACATATTTCTTTGCTTACTTGTCTGATATTTTTCTTAAGATAAATTCTTAGAGTTTTTAAGTAAATTATATAAGCATATACATGCATGCACATATGTGTATGTATTTGTGTACAGTTGTGCCCATTTACACTCCTAGAAAGATGATGGGATAGTTTAGTTCTTGGTGCTTTTTTTAAAAAAATATATTTTATTGCTTTTTTACAGAAAGGAAGGGAGAGAGACAGAGAGTTAGAAACATCGATGAGAAAGAAAAATCGATCAGCCCCCTCCTGCACACCTCCTACTGGGGATGTGCCCGCAACCAAGGTACATGCCCTTGACCGGAATCGAACCTGGGCCCTTTCAGTCCGCAGGCCGACGCTCTATCCACTGAGCCAAACCAGTTTCGGCATAGTTCTTGGTGCTTTTGCCAAAAAGCAGCTATTATCAAGTTTTTTAACATTTGCCAACTGGAGAGTTTTTAAAAATGACAATGTAATGCAATTTTAATTTGCATTCTTGGAGTAGTGTGTTGGCCATTTTAGTTCTTTTGTGAATTTCATGATTTGTAGTTTTTCTTCTACCAGGTTATCTGTCTTTTTCTTAGTAGGTTTTTAATGGAGGTTAATGGGCTCTTTGTCTACCCTAACAACATAGCGCTTTTAGGTAGGGCCTGCTGGATTTGAACTCTGAACCCCAGCACCACCACATCCTACTTAGAGAAAGGGAGAAAGAAAGAGGGAGAGAGGGAAACATTGATGGATTGCCACCCGTATGTACCCCAACCAGGCACTGAACCCACCACCTTATGGTGCATGGGACAATGCTCCAAACAACTAAGCCACACTGGCGAGGGAAACAATAGTTATTTTTAAAGTATATATGGTAAAGGGATGTGACTTTCATTTGATATAACAAAGATAATACTGAAACTGTGTCAATTATTCTCTTGCAGTCCCCTTTTTTGCTAATCTCACTCCTACACATTTTCCTTCTATCCTTCACCTTTTAGTACCAATAATTAGGTCTTATGTAGAAGTGCCCAGATTTCTTAACTAAATTTTTTGATGATGGTCACAAAATCATTGCATAACTATTGAAGTCTATTATATCTATGTAATAAAGCAGTATCATAAGAAGCAAGTATGCATTACTAAAAATGATCAAATAATATAAGGTTTAATTAATTATTCTCTGGAATTTAAAAATAAATAAGTCATTAAGTATTATTAACTAAAAAATGTAATAAATTCCAAACTATCAAGAAATGGGTTTAAGCCAATGGTTCTCAACCTGTGGGTCGCGACCCCTTTGGCGGTCAAACGACCCTTTCACAGGGGTTGCCTAAGACCATCCTGCATATCAGATATTTACATTACGATTCATAACAGTAGCAACATTACAGTTATGAAGTAGCAACGAAAATAATTTTATGGTTGGGTCACAACATGGGGAACTGTATTTAAAGGGCCAGAAGGTTGAGAACCACTGGAGCTAATAAAAAGTTATAATCATACTATAATCCTTTAGTAAATATAAGAAATGTGAATTTAAACAAAAGCATTTTAAGCATATTTTAATTGATAAAGAGCATATCCATCTTTATTACTCTAGATAGATTAGACTATTTTTAGAGAACTAGGATAACTTGAAACCATTTACCTGTTGGAGGCAGGCAGTCTTTCCAATCAAAATAGCCTGCATAAATTCCAGGTTCTAAGGAGCCAACAATGGGATCTGCTTTCAACTCAATGTAATTTTCAAACAGTCTTTGGTCTAATTCTTTCAATGAGGCCATGCTAACCTAAATAATAAAGAGTAATTATAAGTTGTCATTTGAGGGTGGAAAAAAAGGAAATAATGTAAATTTAAAATTACTTCAGCATATTTTAAAAGTACTTATCAATTTTCCTAAAAAAATCACATCTTTATTTTATTAATGTTCAGTAATAAAGATCACGCTTAGCACGACTATTCAATAAAATAAGAATGAATCCCCATGTGTGGACTACAGGTCTTTTACAGAATGTCCAGCCCACGTGTACTGGGAGTTGAGCAGGGCGAGGAGGTTAGTGAGCATCCGTCCAGTCTGTGCCAAGTCTCACTGGTACCCAAGAGGCCAAGCAGTTACAGTGGGTGCGTGGAGCACTAAGGGTGGAAAGTGAGGAGTCTGGGCCTAGGTTCCTCTTCAGTGGACTGGTGGTCTAGCTGCTTCCACACCATTGACCCACAAAAACAAGCTTCTCTCCAAGAACACACCTGAACTTCAAGAAGTTAATGTTGAAAAACAAGCACACAGCTAGTGAGTCTTGCAGCTATAAATGAGGTATCTGCCAAGCAGGGAATTCAGCTGTAGGAGAGAAAAGCAACCACTTGAACTTAGAAAAATACTGAAAACCCTTAAGGAGGTTAAAGTATAATATAAAAAAAGACTTCATGAAGATAAAATACATGATTTCATCAGCTAACAACTGACTAGATTAATTGATGAAATTGCTGGTCACTACTAAGATTGAAATTAAGTGCAATTAAGTACTTCAAAGCATAGAGTAAAAATGTAAAGAGGTGGATATTATGAAGGAAGAGACTTAGATGATAGATCCAAGAGCTCTAATATACAAAAAAAGAAAGAAAGAAAGAAAGAAAGAGAACTATGAGCAGTTAGAGAAGAGGTAATAATTATCTGAATAGGCTTGCTGACTTCCACGCTAGACTGTAAAGACACAGCTAGGCAAATACTATTAAAAGTACCAATTTTCTAAAATAATAAAAAGAGAAACTCTTTTAGACTTCCAGGTTAAAACAAATAATTTACTTACAAGAGAAAAAAATCAGTCTGTTATCGGCTTTTCTCAGATGCAATACTGGAACCTGAAATCACTGGAATAATATCTACAGGAATAAAAGAAATGCAACCCAAGATTCCTATATTTAGCCAAGACATCATTAACAGAGTCCAAGGAACTTATTTTTGAATATGTGAAGATTTAAAGAATATATCACCCATGTAACCTAAGAAAGGGCTCTCACCCAAAAGCAAATATATCAGACTGAGAAGGATGAACAATTGAGGAAAAGTAGTAGGGAATGAACCCTGAGCTCCCTTCCAGCCTCCTTCATCCTTCTTTTTCTCTAATATTTAGAAACATAAACTTAAATGATGATTGGAGATATTCTGGGAATGATACAAGTGCTAATTCTTGAAAGAGGAGAGGCATCCAAAAAGGAAATATTAATAAGAAGCGACAATGACAATGAAAATACAACATATCAAAATCTGTGTGACGAGGTAAAGCAATGGGTTTTATTGCCAAAAACATCCCTCAGAAAGATTTAAAAGAAAAAAATTCAAAATTAAAATTTTTATCTTTTACCTTCAATAGCTAGAAAGAGAAAATTGAACTCAAAAAAGTATAAGTAATAATTAAAGATAAGACCAGAAATCAATTAAATTTTTAAAAAGATTAATATGAGAAAACCAATAATGCCAAAAATAGGCTTTGAAAGGGATATTATAGTTTTATGTAATCTGTTAACACAGAGGAAACTGACAAACTCCTGAAAAACACAATCTTCTAAAAATGGCACAAGTAGTCCTATATACTCTAATAGAGTCCATTATTTCAAACTAGAGGCCCGGTGCATGAAAATTTGTGCACTCCGGGAGTCCCTCTCGCAGTCTGGGACCACTCAGGGGATGTTCACCTGCCAGCTTAGGCCCACTCCCTGGAGGATGGGGACTAGCTGGCAGTCAGATATCCCTCTGGCAGCCTGGGAGCACTTGAGGGATGTCTGACTGATGGCTTAGGTCTGTTCCCCGCAGGGAGCAGATCTAAACTGTCAGCTGGACATCTTTAGAGCTGCCGAGGAGGCGGGAGAGGTTCCCGCCACCACCGCTGCGCTAGCAGCGATCAGCCCAGCTTGTGGCTGAGCAGAGGTCCCCCTGTGGGAGCACACTGACCACCAGGGGTCACCGTCTGCATTGAGTGTCTGCCTTCTGGTGGTCAGTGCACATCATAGCAACTGGTCATTCCAGGTCATTCCACCCTTAGGGTCAATTTGCATATTACCCTTTTATTATATAGGATGCTCTCATATGAGAACTTCAGGACCAGATGTTTCACTGGTGAATTCTACCAAGCATTTAAGGAAGAAATTATCACATGCAAATTTCACAATAGACCAGACCCTGAGAATGTTTCCTATTTTTTTTGATGAGGCCAGCAAAACCATGATATAAAAAACTGTCAAGAATATTGTAAGCAAGGAAAACCAAGATGGCGGCATAGATAAACTCCGGAAATTGGTGCCTCCCACAACACATTCAAAAATACAACTAAAAGACAAACCTACATCATCCAGAACCACAGGAAGGCTGGCTGAGTGGAAATTCTACAACTAGAAGGAAAGAGAAAAGCACACTGAGATTCGGAGGAGGTGCAGCAGTGCAGAGGTACGGAGGTGCATGCGGCAAGGGCTGGCAACTATGGATGCGCTGTCTTTTTGAATTGGAAGGGAGTCACAAGCCCCCGACTGCTCTGAACTCCAGTTTCGGGTGAGTCTCTGGGGACCCAGACTCATACAGGTAGAAACTGGACTGTCTGGCAGCGGGCAGAACTCGGAACTCGAGGACGGCTTTCTCTCAAAGATGCATGCAGCAATTAGCAGGACACTGAGACACGGGGCCCCTTAGGGCAGGGCTGAAGATCAGCCATAGCTGTTGAT